CCTAATAAGAAGAAGAAGAAACAGAGTAAAAACAATATGTTCCCAAACTTCGTTTGGGGAACATAATAATTATACAAAATAAAATTGTGACTGAGTTGTCAATAAATTCTTCCGCCTGGGTCTAAATTTTTCCGTTTTCTTGGTATTCAAGAAATCTTATGTTCCAACAGAAGATTATGTAATGATAAAAATCTCAACATTGGGTCCAATTTTTAATGAAAAACGGAATGATGAATCGTTAAGGTATCAAATATTATCGTCTACACCACAGCTGTAAAATAAAGCTGCAGTTATTAGACTATTCTTTCTAACCATGTTAGATGCTGATTGGTTGTCTTAACAAGATGTAGGCCATGTTGCTCATATGAGCCACCTTGGTCTTACTCTGCCGAAGAACAAATTGTCAAAATGCTGCAACTGACGAAGTACCGATGGAACAGCATCGGAGAAAGTGAAATGTTTACTGAAATGAAGGAATAAAACAATGAGAACCTTGAAACTTCATTTAGAAAATGCTAACGCCTAGTAGCTATGTAACTGATAGTTCAATTTTTTTGATTTATAAAAATATATTGATATATTTGAAAAGAAAATTTATTCCTTTGGGTTAAATTATTGAGCAAGAAGAATTTGATTTACTTTTATTGAGTGATCAGAACAGTAATATGGTTATTCATTTCATTTGTGATATTCACTTTCATTTGAAATATGTTAAATATAATCTAAAAAAATAGACACTCCCCTTCTTATGGTCATCTTATTTAGAGCATCAAAAAAAAAAAAAACCCACAGAAAAACCCACACATCAAATTTAAAAACTCTATTATAGCAACTTTTGCTCTAAAACATAAGAACAATGTACATGTATTTAGATTTCATTCTGATTTATTTAATTGATCTGACACCTTCAAAATTAATTCTAAAACAGATACTTATCAAACACAAGTACTCAGTTATTCATTGTTATATTAAATCAAAATGATGTAAAAACACTCTTCATAAATCATATGAAAGACACAAAGGGACCAATAAACCTCATTAATTCACAAGAATTAAAAACAATGCACCTTAAAAAATGTTCATATTTACATTTTTTATGTTTATGTACGTACAAAAAGTAACTAGGGCGTGTAGATACTAGCCTAATTGCTCTTCTTTACACTGGTCTAAGTATGTTTACGATTGTACTTGTTGGGAAACACCTTCCTCTGTCTGCTTCATTCAGAAATGACACGCGGAACTCTTCAGAAATCCTCAAAGGTGATTGAAACAATGTCAGTTTATTCTCTTGAAAAAGTGAGCAAAACCTACTTACCATCATTGCAACCGTAAACAAATTAGAATGGAATCAAGCCATGTGTCAGAAATAGAGTGCTACACGTCAAACGCTTAGAAATATGTCTCGGAACAACCACATAATATATCTCTCTTTATCTAAAGCTTTATAGAAACCAGTTATCATGTATTATTAACATGTATCGCATGTAAATATGCGAGGTATTCCGGTAAAAAATAGAATCTCGCCAAGATAAATACCAGCACGCCATAAACAAGGCATTGACCATCTATCAAGAAAACAGTGGTATTTGAAAGTTGTCTTATCTTGCATGCTAAATCTCAAGTTCACCCAGCACATGATTGATTATAATAAATAAAATCCGTAAATCTTATATTAAATAAATATTTCTTGAACTTACGTTTCATGTTTCTTTACCAACTTTAATGTTTAAATGTTAAAACAATGTCAATTTATTCCATTGGTTCTAATGTCAAATTTAACTGAAAATTATTCATGCTTTTATTCAATTTGTAGATCACCAAAATTTTATACCACAATTAAGATCACCAAAATTTTATACCACAATCAAAAACAAAAATGATAATTACACTTTTTGTGTGATGAATGAACTCATTTCTAGTATTTATTTTGTATTTCCTTTCAGATTAGATTAAATTTAGAAAGGAATTAGTAAAACAGAGCTATTGATAAATACTTAAGGTTCTAAAACACCTCCATTAGATAAACTTTGAATATAAAAGATTAAACCACAAATTTAATATTCTATAAATGTGAAAATCTCATTTTCCAAAACACTTGCCCTGGGATTCAAACAAAACAAGCCTATTACCGCCAGTGTAGTATTTATTGATACTTGATACGAGTTGGAAAGGGAAATAATCAATGTATGATACTCTTAAGGGAAATAAAAATCCATAGGTTGCAAATATTTGATTTCTCGCAGTAATAAACCAAGAACCCTCGGAGAGAATATGTACAAACTCTTTCCTTTGATGATGTACTATAATCAAGTTTCTTACGCAGTTATCAATCCTCTCCGAAATTGGAAAATGAGTCCTGGAATTGTGTCATGCAGTACATATGACCCAGATGTCATGTATTAGAATTGGATTTCTATGTGGTATTTATTTTGTATATTTTGGATAAAATATTTGGCATTAATTGTGTGAAAACGCCTCAAACGTTTTTCATCATTACAAAATAGATCCTTGTTTTGGAGAGCATTCCACGTCAGTTTCACGCCAAATCACATGTTCAATTTTTGTTACTTTTGCACCAAATCACATATGATAGTCGAGATGTTTATTTATCAAAGAAAAATAAAAAATAAATAAACCTCAAACTTTAGTTTGTAGCAGTAATGACTGTTGTCACGAACATTCATTTAATGAATTTAAAAAGAAACACTCTTAAAATTTGATGATCAAGAGAAATTCATTGCCATTCTGTCCAAAAATAAACACAACTTAACAAGGGACGGGAAAGAAGTATTTCATGTGGAACAAGTATACTGTTTCCACTGGATGTGTAGCATAATTTAACTTTTTAAAATCTCCGGCAATTATTTTTTAAAATAATTCTTCTGTTTAATTAGATTGAAACTTTTCCTTTGAGTTCAAAAGAAAAATACTTTTTATACAAAGATATTTTCCATCTTTCCACCCATGTGAACGTTAAAAAATACCGTACAGCGGGTTTTCTTGGCGGGTGTAAAATTTGGCGTTTTGGCGTAATTTATTTTAGCGTACAAATGGATTTAACACATTGCAAACGAACACTAAGAAGAATAGTGATTATTTAAGCGATTAAAATTTAGCGGGCTACTACCAAAACGCTAAAATAAGCCAAAATTAACACCCACCTAAAATAACCCGCTATACGGTAGTTTATCTAGACTTAGTTTATTGCGTGAGCAAGCGAAAACACCGCTCTAAGTAAAATATGGTGATGTCAACAGAGTTAAGAAAGTTTTAGGCGACCAATAACTGTTCCAGCAAGTTACAAATTGAAACAGAAAGTAATTCTCCAATAAATTTGAGTGGTAGTGTAGAAATTGACGGCACAGAGAATACATATTCAAAGTTTTGATCATATCTTGATGTACCTGTCCAAATTAATGAAAAATTCTGAATTATCTTACATTGTCAAACTGTTCATAATAATGAATTATTTCAGTTTATAATTTCAAACCAGGGTGTATTATAACAACTAACACAGACACGAACAGGAAGCATTTTGCAGAAATTAACCATGTTGAAACCCTTAAAATTCTGACTGGAGAACAAATGACATTTTGTCAGGTCCATAATTTTATACTGATGTTCGTTCACAGATTAAGTGTTACACAATCGTAAAATATTTATCATAATTGCTAATAATTTTCCAGCCGCGCAGACAGTTCTCAAATTTCAGGAAAAATACCTACAGCGCGACCGGATTAGGGTTTGAATGAATTTTCCCTCTGGTATTCCGTAATCAAATAGAGTTCTCAAACAAACCTTATATAGTAAAACGCAATAAACAAGTTTGGGCATTCTGGGGTTTTCGCAAATTTTCAACCCCCGCGTTTGGTCATTACGCGACTGATGTGCTTTTAGTTTTGGTCTGTCGATGAATGGTGTTAAGAATCACTGAAAACAAATTATCAGCTATAGGCACAGCGCAATGCTACATCCCTTGGTTTGGTCATTATCTGGAAAAAATCTATTATACAGACGAAAGAATACTTACAAAATATTTCTTAAACTTACTTCCGGTCATAAACTGCCCTAATATCAAGGAAACGGAAAAAGAAGCAAATAAAAATTAGATGAAAGACGTCTGCAAAATCAATGAATGATCAGGTTGAGAGACTTGGCTGTCTTTGCAAGGTAATTTATGTAGGGATGAGGTCGTGAATTATTGTACAAATTCTCATATCGTACGAACCGAAGCGAATATCTTTTAAACCAGACACCACTTTACCACACAAGAATTCGGTGGTTTTGGTTCGACGATTTTTATTATGCTTTTAAAAGTAAAGAAGGGAATAATAAAAAAGAAGATATTTTATTGCTCCCAAAACGCATTCCTTGGATCTCTCTATATTTGTTTATGTTATTAGAATTTCATTTTGCTAGCGCCAGTCCTAAATGCATGAGCATGCAGCAAAATTACTTAAAATCATAGAGTCTCCAGACTTTGTCTGCTGCATAATTTTTATCAAATTTGATTTATGAAACAAAGTCATGAAATTCCATTTCAACATGGCATGAGATGTCCATGAAGCATGTAATAAGTGCATTTGTCCGCTATATCTAAGAGACATCTGAGAGATGAGGATTACAATCTTACAAAACACTTGCAATGGACTAATGCGTGTAGATCATAAGTTAATGTTTAACATATGACTTTCAACCGCACATCATTCTTTAAAATCATGAGGCTGGTACAACTAGCATGTATTTATTAGGCGTTATTACGCAACTTTAATGGAAATATGCACATAATTAACATGCAACGTAGAGAAAAATAAGCAGCTTGCGACAACCAACTAATTAATAGTTTTTCTTTTGCATGTGCATATGCCCCTAAACATTGTAGATAGAGCCAAAGTGTGTTTTACTTACTTTACCGAAGTGTCAGCTTTATAGCTGACTTAGGACAACATTATGGTGATAACATCAACAGAACTGAAAACAAATGTTGCACGTGATCTTACCTCGAGATGGCAGAAAGACATTCAATGCCAGACAGTCGTCCGCTTGAATTTTGGTGTAATTTGACCGATGGTACAAGCGAATCACATGAAACCGTGGCAACACCTTTAAAAGCTCTCTTAAAGAATTTTCGTGGCTTATATCTTCTTGAGGGCAAACACTCAGCCATTTATTTGCAATATGTGTTTTATTCCACTCCGGATCATACGCTTTATGATTGCCTACATACCCATATTTAAGTCCTCTATACACTTCCACAGGGGTCCAGTGTGAGCCCTTAAAAGTTACAAGAAGTCCTCTTATTTCTCCATAATTTAGTTGAATTACAGACTGTCCCAGCTGACGAATTTCAAAAGATATCGATGATACACCCAGAAAGACAACAAATAAAACAATTGATCTCTCTATCATTTTCTCCCATTCAGATAATCCCGAATGAATATATGCAATCTGTTTCATAGCTGTAAGATCTCGTTGTTTGTGTCTATTAATAGGTCTGCTGAATGATTGAGTTTGCAAGGTTTCCCTTTAACTCTTTTGCTCAACGGAAATACTTCTTGACTATCACTATGCTTCATCTCAGTTCAAAGATAGATAATATTACCATCTGTTTAAAACAACATGTTTAACGAACACGTACATGATCAAGCCAAGTTCACGTTTGGAATATTCCTCTGCAAACCTCTCTAATTAGAGGAAGGGTGCATGGAATCTATAACACAATTCTGTCGTCTGACAATCGCGTGCCAAAAAATTCAGAGCGCATGCGCTCAACCAAAAACAATTCTAGGCGAAAGACACAAAATAAAAAATCCATGTAATTGTCATAACAGCTCATAAAAATGTTTTATGATACTTTTCTAATAAGTCTGAAAGAGAGTCAATGAACAGTACACTACTTCACACATGCCAACAGACCTCTAACTAGTCCGACTATTCGATAAAATACAACCGCTGCGCTAGAGGAATAGAATTACCTCCCAAATTCAATTCTCCAGTTCCCGTTATGTTGTTTTATTGTAAACAATTACACCCAAATTATATTCTGAACGACTTCCAAGTTTCCCTGGAGATGTGACGGGGTAGTTTACATCATGCTCCGATTTTTTCCTATTTCGTAGATGGTATTAAGATACACTTCGAACGAAAGTAGAAGAATGCCCTGTCTTTGGTTTGTCCTGGATCAATAAATTAGAAGCCTTGTGATTAATGATACGCCTGATGAAAGAAAACCGACATTAAGTTGGGAAAGCTTCGCCAGTGCCACATCTCATTCCAGATGAATTTGTGACTGTTACGATCCACATAGACTTTCTCTTTGTATAGCATGCCTTAGATATAATGCTTTTATTTATCAATTTCCATTTTGATACATTTTTTATCGCCGATAACAACTCGTGTGACTATTTCAATCAAAAAATTTATTGTTTTTGACTCGGATTGATTCATCCTGTTTTCTCCCAAAATCAAGCATCGACCATTATATTATGTGATCAAACAGTTGAGCATGACTAATATTCTCTAACTATCCATAAAACACGGTCACATGCATAATAAAATAACAATTTTAATTCGGATATCAAACATTTATGGGGTTTACTGCAGCGAACAAAGAAAAAAAATGTTTTCTTATAAGTGATGCTTTGCAAAAATTTCTATCACTACGAAACTGAATAGGTTTTGGGTTAGTGAATAGTTTTATTGACATTTTTCTTACATTGTACCTTATAGTAATTTATAAAAACATTTATGGGGATATAATACTTATTGGTCACATGATCACATGCCATAAAGCCCGAAGGAATTATGGTAAATTTGATCACGTACCAACTCATATTTACATCCTGATTCGGGTTTTATAAGATTTGATCACGTGATCAACCCGTATTTATATCCCGATATATATAATATATATATTTCAAACCACAGCGTTGAATATATCGATCACGTCGACTACTTATGTCGTCACTGTTAAGTTACGTCGATCATTTATAATTAGTAATGGCTTTTTGGTTATATGTGACGAATCTGTTTTATACAGTTTTTCATACACATTGCTCAAATAATGTTAGATAACAGAAAATTATATAATTATTAAAATATAAAATTTAAAAAAAACTTTTGCCAAAATCCTTGCTTCTTTAGTTGCAATGTTCTTTTACTACCTGTCTTTACTGACACATTTAGTGTTTTATACATAGCTATGCAAAGAGAACAAAATTTAAAAGTCTCATCATTCAAGTAAGCCAATTGTAATAACGACCATTTGAAGATAATTTGAGGAACATAATACAATTTTCCTTGCTGTTCTATTTGATCGGTATTTTTGAAGCAATTGGCTGGCATCAGAATGAAAACGCTGGAGAGCAGAAAACACAATATTAATGAAAATAAAGTAATATTAGCGTCAGATCAATAACAGGAACACACAATGAGAAGGAATCGAAATTCACCACTATTACAGAGTTGTTTGACTGTTGTACCAAAATTGCCGCTAAGTGTTGTTAATGACATGATCAATGGTTCCTTCTTTTTGCTTGGAAATCATAGTCCAAGTTTCTGTTAGAAATTCCCCCATTACAGCCTTATCAGCTTTCCCACAGTAAAACAAAATCACTTCTTCTGGTTGTATTTGCTAACTACCAATTTGTAGCACTCTTTAGTGTATGTTGATCTATCAGGATCCATTTGTTCTTTACAAAGTAGGTATTTTGTATGCAACACACAGTTATTTATGAAAAGTACACAAATAAATATAATTCTCAGAGATTATTTCAAAAAATTGCTCTGTGCACTGACACCCCCTCCCCCTTTTAAGAAAAAAGGAAAAGAAGGCTAACAATTCACAGGTAGTAAATAATATTATTCTGTGTTAGTTTTATCTTAATTCTTGTTATTGAATTTTTTTTCTCATTTGCTATTAATGATACATTGTCAGCATTGGAGAAAATATTTCGATACTAAAACAATTGCTTTTAAATTATTTAGATATAGGTTCTAAAATCCCCCTCCCCCGCCAAAATTACGCATGGAACATGTAGTAAATATTTCCCGCATCTAATAGCATTATAAATGTAAAAAAGTTAATATGTATACCTAATTCAATCCAATACATTAGAATAGATTAATTTAAAGCTTAATAACAATAATCATAGTTTTAGTTTTTTAGTCCCCTACCGGTGAAACCGGAGGGGACTATAGGTTTCCTCTGAGTCTGTCCGTCCGTCTGTCTGTCTGTCCGTCTGTCTCTCTGTCAGTCTGTCCCACTTGGTTTTCCGCACTTTTTTCCTAAACGCTTGCAGATATTGAGCTGATTTTTGGTATGTGAGTGTATCTTGATGAGTTACAGATCAAGTATGCATTTCGTTCCGCTTCATTGATTTTTGATGGAATTACGGCCTTTTCAATTTTTACGGGTTTTCCGCAATTTTCTTCTAAACGATTGAAGATGTTGAGCTGATTTTTGGTATGTGGCTTTACCTTGATTAGTTATAGAACAAGTTTGCATTAAACCCGCTTCATTAATTTTTGACGGAATTATGGCATTTTCAATTCTTAACGGGAACCAGTTTACACTTGCCGGTAGGGGACTAGTATTGCTAATGCAATACTCTCAGAATGCTTGTTTAATATAAGATGTTTATAGTTTAGGTAGTAGCTTAAAAGAGTTTAAATTCGATCTTGTACATGTATTTGAAACATGGGACTACTTTAAAATGTTTCAATTTGCACTATTGTCAGAAATTAACCATTAAACATGGCTGACAAATCTTATGTGGCAATTATGAAGCTTAACAGATGGAAAACTTAAAGAAATTAACTAGCTACATGAAATTTGCCACTTTACTGAAATGAATAAAATACCTCAGAATTTATAGAACGTGTTTTCTTTACGTCACAATATTGGCATGCAGTTGTGCGAAAAGGCTTAAGATATTGGCCTTTAAGGTTTTCAGTCAAGTTAGAAAAACATAGAATGTGGTAACAATTATATTTTACAGAAATTCTACCATTGTGTCAATTACACCTCAGCGTGAAAGGAAATAGGGTGGCTAAAATTTGACCTGTAATATGAAATCGAATTTGGCAGCAAACATCAAAAAGGCTGAGAAAATAATGCAGGTCTTATTTTTGCAGTGGGAACCTGAAATGACTGTTGAGGATTTAGAGTGATCGTGCAGCAGATCTCTCGGAGTATAGGTTGTGAACATTTCCCATCAGACAAAGGAAAAAATATCGTCCATTTTCTTAATATTTTCGATCGAATAATGTAATTTTTTTCCGTGACACCAAGATTATGATATATCAACGACAGTACACACCATTATTCTTAAATTACACTATTCGTATAAATCAAGCTCTAGGGAAATAAAGTACTCGTAAGACATGATTTAATTACATATGGTGTCACCATTATATCTAACTTAGCAAAAAAATGCTTCTCCCATGTGGTTTCATTTTTTTTTTAAATTCTATGAATTGCACATATGACTCGAAATGTGCAATATTGCATTTCTTGGAATAAAAGCTCTCGCGTTGGCTATTTGATATTGCTGTTGAATTTTCATGATAAAAAATTACTTTCGATCACAATTTCATTAAGTATGGAGAGCCGACTCTACTGTTGAATTTCGATGATTAAAAAATGACTTTCTGTAAAAAGAATTTCTTAAAGTATGGAGAGTTTATTAAATTTTTCAGTCATTTATTTGTACAGATGGTGTCTTTTGTTATGCCTTATATTGAGGAAGCTTGGAATACAGGTAACTCTTTAACATACAGAAATGTTCTATTTTTTTTTTAAGGCAACGTTTAAATATTGTTAGGTAAAATAAATTAAATACTATGTAGGAGGAATGAGAACAGTGGTACAACAGTAAAATATCGTAAAAAAAACCCAGCGAGCCTATAAATTAAGAATGAATCACAGTTGTTTTTCTCTGTAGGAATATAGAATCACACTTACTGAAATATATGGGTAAATTATTAGATTTGTTATAAATACCATTAAAACCATAAACTGCAGTATAAGCCGTTAACAAAAAAATTCATGTTCTTAATGATTTTAAAAAATAATATACAGCGTACATGTAATGGATACCGCAATCTAGACCTCCAACACCAAGTTCATAAAATCCCCAGACTCTGTACATCCTTAAACATAAAGTTAGTACATAAACAACAGAGGGATTGATTTAGAACCTATTTTGGTGCTCTGGGTTGTTATTTTATGGTGACCATTCCCAATCTGTTTGGCTAACAGCATTAGACACTGACAATTATTTACAGAACTTGTCACATACTAATTCCAAGTTATGTGCCATATGTGAATTACTAACGAATTTAAGCACCTAGTGATTACGATAAGTGATTTCTGAAAAAGTCCTCTTATGGTAAATGTATGCGTGGGATTTTATGGGGTTAAACGTATGCTTGTAATCCCACACTCAGTAATTCATTCACTAAGTAAAAGTTTTCTGAAGTGTCCCTACAGTATTGAGAATGTTTGAATTGTTTTAGGAATATCAAACAAATTAACAATTACATGTAGTGTGTTTAAAATATGTGGTTTATAAAATTTCAGGACTTGAAAGTCTTTTTTAACATACTGTTAAATACAAAGCTATCAACTTTAGCAAAATGCAAATGTAATACCCAGTCCTGAAAATACTGGGTTTCTTTTAATTTTCATTTGATATGTTTAGATTTAAGAACAATGGCTGTTTTTTATATAAAAAGCTAAAGCTAAAAATATATACATTTAAACAAACAAACAAAAACCAACCAACAACGCCCCCCCCCCCAAGAAATGGATGTTATATTTATTAAGATATGAGCAATATTGATAAACATTTATACATATGTTAGTTAAAGCATTTAAAGATTTATTTCAGTGAAAAAAAAGAGAGCATAACCAACGGTGATAATTTCATAAATCCCGTAAATAAATCTAAAACGGACCCCTGGAATCATCAGAGGTTGGTTGGATCAGGTGCCTAGGAGAAGTAAGCATCCCCTGTCGACCGGTTATCCTTAGACGGCCCTTGAGCCCTCTGTATTGATGAGATAAACCGAGGAATCCGTACTAAGTAGACATACAATTAAGGCATAACAATTGACATGATATATGTCAGTCAAAAAAAACGACACAAATGTAGATTGTTCTTGCAAACAATATAACCAGAACGACAATAGAATTTGAAAAATGTTGACTTCTAACGAAATTGTCGAAAGCCCTGTAACATTTATTTGTCAGTAGCCTGCTTC